TATATGCAATGATAGTACTCCTTCGCAGCGGGCTATATGCAATGATAGTACTCCTTCGCAGCAGGCTATATGCAATGATAGTACTCCTTCGCAGCGGGCACTATTGCATCCAGTGTCATCTTGCCCCACCACAATCTCCAAAGTCATATTGTCCCCTGTTCAATAACTAATATAGCTAATTTTTTTTTAAGTCCAAACTGTTTTCTGCTTTGTTAATTTTGTGCTTTAACAAGATCTTAAATTGATGACAAATAACTTTCAAAATATAAATGACAATATCAGTTCTATGGCACTATATTTGCACTTGCCTAACAACCCTTGTGAAAAACGTATTTTACGTTGTGGTTTTCTAAAMCCCTTCTGGATTTGCACTCTGTTCTGCCAATCTGGAAGGCAGCAAGACATGGTGCGAGCCAGCAAGGCATGACGAAAACCATTTATTAAGATAACATGTTTACAAACCCTTACAGTACTGCAATGAAATAAAACCAAATTGTTGATAATTAAACTAAAACTYTGAGATGTGAGTAATATAAGGTAAGTACTTATGCTATTTTGTTGAAAAGCCTTACTCAATATTTTTGCAGGATTTATGCAGTCCTTCCACCCCTACCTTCTCCCATCAATAATCTAATGGGTCCATCCCTGCTGTGTTTAATTCACATGATGTCACCAAAAYACTTCCAATACGAACTTCTAATATTGTTTAGATCCTGTCTAGTATAGTCTTTATTCAAAGTGTGGTCGTAATTGGTCTAATCAAATGAAAGAGCTAAGGTAAGTTTTGTCACAACCGGCAGGGTCAGATAGTTTGAGGTGACGAGCAAGYGCCGTCTTTCATAAAATATGCTTAGTTTGTCCATAAGATACATGCATGCATTATTTGTTATGTAGAATTTAAAGTCATATATTTTTATAGTATTTCAACTTTTGTATTTTTTTTTTTGCATTTTTAAAGATATAGCAATTTGGCAGCTATATTGATGTACCACAGCAGGGAAACCAGTATGGCCGCTCCATACATTCACTAGTATATAAATGGAAAAGGAAAGGATTATATCTTGGCTGGAAAAAAAATATGATCTCAAATTTAACATTCACGTCCGTGTTGTATGGTCTTTATAATTTCTCGCCTTCGGCTCGAGATTGTAAAATCCCATAMAACACGGCTGCTCATGTTGTTAAACATTACAAAACTTTAACAATATGATCCTTAAAAAATCCATGCCTCGCTGCCTTGCACCATGCCCTGCTGTCTTGCAGCATGCCTTGCATGCTTCGCTGCCTTGCATGCTTCGCTGCCTTGCATGCTTCGCTGCCTCACACGTTTGTAAAACTCGTCTGTACTCCATTATAATAAACTTACGTGGATGTTTTGATATGGGGCCAGTGTCTTCCACAGCAGGCTCTTGTTGTGTCCAAAAACCCTGTGTATTTTGTGATGTCTGGGAAAAACTTGGTGTAGTTGGACTACTCCATCCTGATGGAGCAGATGAACCAGTTGATGTATCTATGAATAAATAGGTTAATTAATGGACGCAGAGCAAATGGATGGTTTAAATTTAAATAGTTATTATTCAGTCAGTAATTTTAGAGGGAACATTAATATGGTACAGTTCTTAAGATGTCTTCATATAATTTTTCAATGATGTGTAGGAATTTGTATTGTGCTTAGGAGTGATCACATACAACACAATAAATAGACCAGCAGAAACGTAGGCAGAAAATCAGGCAACTTGTTTGCTATAGACCTCAAATGAAAAATTAGAGTATAGGCAATACATGTCAAAATTATGACTCATTTCATTATTTTCCTGAAATTGCAAAATATAAACAAGTTCAAAAGGGACAATTTTTGAGATTTTGCCTTGATTTGGTGCAAAACCACAAGCCCTTGTGCAACTTTTTAACAGCGTTAAGGCGGGCTATTGTGCACATAGACTTCCTTTGGAATTCATCTTCTCTACACCTTAGAAACACTGTCAAGCCTAATTTTGGTATTGTGTGACAATTTTACTACATAGTAAATGTTCTATTTCTCAATATGTCAACATTTTTGCAATTATTTGCTGTGAATTGGAATGTAAAAAATTTAAGAAAAAAGTACAAGATGAAAATAAWTAGCATGTCTGACTGTTAGTGGTATCAAACCACCCTCCTCACTTAAGATTTTCAACCTTTTTTGATTGCACAGCTTATAACTCTTTTGGGCACATTAATGATTAATCCTGAACCTTTCTGTTACAACAAATTCATTGGCCAATCTAGTGTTGATAGTYTTATATCAGCTGTGGATATAGTAAAGATGGCAACATTTCATTTGCACATCAGATAGACAGTTTGGCTAGTTCCCTTGACAACAGCGAAAAATCCTAGATTTACCTACCAAGTTGAGCATTGGTCACTGGAATGTTTTAACATAAAACTTTTCTCACATAAAAATTATGTTACGTCCTCAAAATGCATATCAAACTATTCTTCGAGGACAAAAATGAAAAGCTACAGGTTGATAGCTCATTATTAAGCAAAACATTCTTGAAATCTGACATTCTAGAATACATGATAGTTTGATGAATTGGAGAGTTATAAAAAGGCTCAAAATGAAGTAGCCCAAGTTGAAAATAAACCGGATGTATGTAGGCTCAAAATGAAGCTGTATGCCAATTGTGTAAAGCCAAGTCTGAGTTCTTTATAATAATAAATATGAAAACAAATGGAAAACAATCAATTTTCTTTTGGGCAGCAGAAAACAATCACCTGTAAATAAAAGTACAACTCAAAGGCCAGAGCTTTCAATAAGCACTTTTTAATGTTGCATTTGATGCTTTGATACTCATCAGCTTGTATGTTCTCATTCCCATTAATAATCAAAGATAATTATAACAGTCTTTTGCACTGTAAAATTGCTTATCACCACAATCTTCAAACATGGAGACACTTCCATTGCCACAAACTATTGTCCAATTTTGCTGTTAACCCAAATTATCTATAATAAGGTTATTGAAAACCTGTGCTCAATGCCTTAATATACAATCAGATTCCATTTGATTTGCACTTTATAATATTGGGCTTTTTCTCCAAGCACTGTCCTGAGACTTCACTATAATTATTATATGAATTGCTATTTGACTGTAAAATAAATGGAACACTTACAGTTGACTTATGTACATGTAAAGCATTCAACATGATTGACCACACATTGTTGAAAAACATATGAGCTATCTAAAGAAAGCCCCACCTTGTCCACCTTGGATGACTATATGTCGTACGATCCCCGCCAAAATCCATGTTATGAAATTTACATCCGTCGTTCCTCTTTTTTCACTCCAAATTCAGTATTTGATTGTTGAACTCCAAATGTTCAACTCTTTTCTATAATTTTTACAGTGTTATAAAGCATTTTTYACGCTCGACTTTTTTTGTTTTTAATGGACTTATCAAATTTCATACTCCAAATATAACATGATGTCAAAAACACAGCCAAAATCCATTGTCAGATTTCAACTCCAAATGCAAATTTTACACTCATCACACAAATTCTCACATGAAATAAAAATGTTTAATTCAGAATTTTCAATGACCAAGATTTTTATTCAAGACAAACAGTTATTTCGTCTTTCATATGCACGAAATTATATGAACTGAAATAGAATAAGCATTAGTGACTTAAGTCATGTGGCTATACCTATACCTTGTCGATCAAAGTAAGTCAAAACCTACCAGTGAAAAGCACTGATTTTTCACCTTTTACAGTCTTGTAGGCACCCGAAGGTCAGAAGTGTTTACATCTGATGTAAATCACTTTTTAATCCTAAATGGTAAGAGTACTCACTTTTAATGAAAGGATAAGAATTGCTATAATATATCTCTTTTAAATTGATATCTTAGTCAGAAAACATCTAAAATAGAGCATCTTAGAGCTTGTGAAAAAAATGTAAAAAAACCCAGCTCAAATTCAATGTACATCTTCCATTGCACCTGAAAATTGCGTCGCCTGCGCAAGCAAAAAATCGCTCATGTATTGAGTTTAAAAAGTGTGTCCAGAAAATGATCAAAATCTTGACACATTTGTGGTATCCCCATACATTTTTTTCAACAGTCAAATACCAAATTTGGAGTGAAAAAAAAAAAAACCCGGACTGACGAATGTAAATTTCATAACATGGATTTTGGTGGGGATTGTACGCCATAGATCTAAATGACAGATGCCAGCTSGATTAACTAAGATGATCTCTTTCCTAGTCCAGAAACATGGTGTACTCCTGGGGTCTATCATTGGTCTACTTCTATTTATGAACAACCTTTCCAAGTGACATCATCAAGAATGGACCTCTACGCTRATGACAAAACACTAACATCCTCCTCTAACTTCAAATAAATTGACATGCTTCATAATGCACTAAATAAATCCATTACTAATGTTGTTACATGGGCTACCTCAAATAAACTGATGATAAAGGAGAGTAAAACTAAAACATTGTGCATCACTTGGAAGTGTCTATCTGCAGCCACTGAAGACCTGAAATTGACTATTAAYAGTATTATGTTAAACTTAGAACCAAGTGTAAAGCTACTAGGACTTGAAATTGGCTTTTAAAAACTTTCATTTGACAACCATCATGATAAACTTTACAGAAAATTATTTTAGCATATATGATTTTCTGAAAATGATATTACCTTTAAAAGAAAGGCTATATTAAAATACTTTACTGAGAATGATATATACTACTTATTAACTGAGAGTGAGGTCATTACAGGGAAATCTCAGACCAAGGTCTTGGAAGTATGGACAGAGCGATAGCGAATGTAATGACCGAACGGACGAGGTTAATAAGTTATTTATTATATGGCTCTCTTAGTAAAAAATAAATAAAATACATAACGTGAACAAAATAAAAGAACAGAAGTGATTTAACACTTCAGTCGGATATTTTGCTGATTTTGGCTCCACCGAAAATGCTACTTAAAGCACTTGGATTTGATGTATGAACGGCGAGGGAAGTGGTTGACTCAACTGGTTACTTGAGGACGGCAAGCATAGTCTAATGACAGCTTAGAAATGCTCGATAAGTATTCACCATAATTTAAAGATAGCTCAAAAAGGATTGTATTGGAAGACAAAATGATGTCAAGATATAAAAGCTCAAAAGAGAACATACCTCTACAGACTACTCAAAACAAAAGTGAAAAACCGAAGGGATTCAAACCGGTGTCTTGACAAGAAAAGCTGAGAATGAAATCCTCCTCTTAAAAATTCAATGAGCTCGTTGACGAGAAAAAAGAGCAAAAACCTGGAAGTCCAGTTGAAGGAATTTTGAGTCAGTGTGAACTCGTTCAAATGCTAAGCTTTCTCAATGAAAACAGCTGAAAACAGGCAAACTTTCAAGTACTTCGTGGGACATAACCGTTGTCTATCAACGGTTGCTGGAGAAAGAGAAGAAAATTGTAATTCTATATTGAGGGACATCCACTTYGAAGAATTAGTGTAAACAAACCTACACCGGCCTTGTCGATAGCAGAATCATTGAAAATTTGTGAGTAGACTGTAATAATGTATTTGTGCATGAAAATTAATAACTGAATCTATGAAATAAGAAGCCATTATTCCCGTATTTTTGCAGAAATTATACTAAAAATATAATAATTTTTGTCATTTTCGTCGGTTTGGTACTAAAAATATAATGGTTTTCGTCTGTTTGGTAGCCATTTTGACGGCTTTCGCACTAATCTCGTCGTCAAAATAACTTACATGTTAAATAAATTCACTTTCACTGTAGGTAGTTTTCGTCGTCTGTCATTTTGCAAATAAAAAATTTGCAAACATTTATTTTTTTCGTAAACGAACTAAAAGGATATCTTTGTTTTGCAATGCGTTTCAAATTGTGTGTGTCTTTTTTTGTCTTACTCAAAGTCAAAGCTGGTCTAATTGCAAAAAATAATGACCGCTGTGAGCAGGCATTACAGGAAAATTCTGAACGGTCATTATCTGTCAACAGCCAATCAGAGCGCGCGTACTATCTAAGCCATATAATAAAGTGCTTTATGCGAACAGTCTGGTCATGTGATGTTTTAAAGCTCAAAAAGAACAGCCAGCTAGGGACATTGCAAMACCCTAAAGCTTATCATCTGAGCCTAAAAAACTGTTTAATGAGCTTAACTGGGTCCATTTAGAAGATAAAATGTAAAAGAACAGCATTATAAAAATTTATCAGTGACAACATAATTTAAAAGGCTCTCTTTAGATTAAACAGCCAATGTTATCATTGTTGTAACAATTAATCTAAAGAAAATAGCCGTTAATTATACAGTTTTTGTCCTTTTAATATTTGATGTTGACCTCTCAAAAATGTATTTGGAAGGACATATCGTCTTGTGTATGCCTAGGCATTGGGTTTGATTAAGGGCAAAAGGAGAGGTGGGCACGATGCATGGGTTTCGAAAATTGGATTTCACCACAGGAAGCCCAAATGGAACAATTTATGTTATCATGATTCCCAAATCTCCAGAATTGAAAAGTCAGGAGTTGACAGTTATGCTCTTGGTGATTTCGAACATTAAAAAAAGGGAAGAAGGTTGTAGTAACAAAATCCTATAAAGTGTTTCACAAAGTTTGGCAAAAGATATAGCTTCAAAAGCTTGAGATAAATGGTAGCAGGGATGCCAACCCCCGAACTTTTCAAATCTTGAGATAATATACATGAACGAAAATGATGACGTCATACCGGAAATGAAGTTTCATAACATTATCGATTATCAAATTTCGTTATAACTAGTGATTTGATTGGATGTATCTTAACCAATCATATTATAGATTGTATTGTATTGAAAATGGCTGCGGATGGCATGCAGTGTTATTGTTATCAGAAGACTGGGATTTTTGTATTTTTTCAGAACAGATATGCAAGGTAATTTGAGTTTTAATAGATAAAAATTTATTATATTTCAAAAAACTGATATGAATCATCACTATCCGGGAGATTTAGCGGTAAAATCTTGAGACCGGGAGAAACAGAGAAACTCTTGAGACTCCCGGATTATCCGGGAGAGTTGTCATCCCTGTGGTAGGACACAAGGTTCTTGTTGTACTATACACAGTTTGAAAGTCAAATCATTTGTGACAAGTCGCAATGTGTAAATTTGCCTTAGAATGCAAATGTATCAAMATTTTCAACTAACCCACCTTGAGAAACATGACTCATTCCTGGCTCCACAGCATGGATAGGGTATAATTCCTGTGGAGGTCCTACAGGGGGAGGAATTGTCTGTCCTCCAGGAAAATGATGAGCTGTGGGTACAACAGCTTGTCTAAAGTCTGGTTCGCTCTGACCACTTGACCCAAAATTGTTTTCTGTTCAAAGAATAAAACAATATAGGGATGAAAACCAAGTTTAAGTACCATTATAATTGTGATTTATAATCATATTATCATGGAATAATTGGGAAGTGAACATCATGGAGGGCTGAATAATTTTAAGCCATCTTAATTGCATTAAAACATAAAGATTTCTCTGTCTACTGCCTCCTGACCATTTATGGTAGCCAGGTGCATTTGGCCTCATAACACTCCTTTTGAATTTCAGAAAGGGCAATCAATTGAGATTTGTCTTGACTTGCATATGACTTTTAACTTCCATTTTCTCTAAAGAATATTAAGATTCTATCTTATTGAACTTTATAGCAAAATATACTTCAGCATATAGGAAAATATACTTCAGCTTACGTTGAGACTTTGATAAGCAAAATAAACCTTTGTGTCTGACATTTATGTATAGTTTAAAACACGAGAGAGAGTGTTTAAATCAGGTATAAAGATTCGAGCCRAAGGCTTCAAAAACTCCAACACTAATTTGAAACTCAAATCCGTTAAAATACTTGGAGAAATTGCCGTACAAATAATGTTCTGAGGTAAATAGGGCAAACTGATCATGCGTGAATCACTTTACAAAGCACTCTTGTCATCCCACATTGAATACGCATAAAGTAAAATAGATTTTGGCTGTTCACTGCTTTCGGTTGACATCCTGCATTGGTCAATGATCAGGTTTCAAACCGGAGACCTTTGCTAGGGTCATGGACATTTATATCTGATAAAGGTCACCCTTATTAGTATTCTTTATATAAAGAATACTAAAAGGGAGTGTTTTATCAGATATCAAGGTCCATGCATGTGCTTACGGGAGCGTCCGTACGTAGATTCGACTGTATCAATTTCAAATCATATCATGATCACATTATTCTGACCTATTACTAAAACTCAGGTTAAAATTGTATGAATCTATAATATTTAAAAAAAAAACAACTATCCTGATCCAACGTCAGCTCGTTTTGGTTCCTGATGAAATGCTCATACCTTCTATGACGACCAGGACAAATTGATTATAGTTCAGATAGTTCAGAACATAATAACTTTGACTTCTGAAATCTAATCAATACTAGACGCTCTTGGAGCATGAAGTCGGACTAGCTATTTTTGAAAATTGACGACTGAAAGGTTTTAAACACGATAAGATTATGATGTTATACTCTGTCTAATCATATAAATTATGGCATACAATATATATATTTTACTTCTAATACATAGTGAAAGCAAGAATGCATTACTTTCACTTTAATTAATGTACTGTTCAAAACCATTTATTCACACAATACGATATTCTTTTTGACTGCTCTCTGCAACGACTTCAAAACGATAGAACTCTAAAAATTTGACCTAACAGGTCATGTAATTATAAATACCCTGTGAACAGAGTGTATTTACAACTGAAYTGATATCAAACGTGGTTGACTACATGTCGCTAATTCATGATGACTTACAGATGCTAGCATAAATTTTAGAATACTTGAATGATTAAATAAAAGAATCCAGTGTCAAGACATTTTTCAAATACCAAAAGTATCAAAAAGAACTTAAATTGATGAAGATATGAATTAAATTTCAAAACTATGCATTTTTGCAAACTAAGAAATGCACTGTAACCAGCAATCCATGCTCAGCAAGYCTTTTAATTATGATACACAAAAAAATAGAAACTTCAAAAATTCATACTTTGCACCTTCATCATTTTTGATGTGAAAAATTCGGTATTTTTATTTTTCAAGTGTTTAAAAATGTCATTTTAGCGTGATAAACATAAATAGTTGAACTATCACTGAACTTGAAAGACACAAAAATTACACAGGATACCAAATGAACAAATTTCATCCAGTAACTATGGAAAAATTCTAAAACTGATGCAATTATTTTGTTCATTAATGTCGTCACATTACAACTTTCCTAGATTTTGTTGACAGTCTTGTGTCTTCTCCACATTTTCCTTTTGTCAAAACTAGAAATTGTTTCACCACAATCCATGACCTATACTTAAACTAAGAAGGCACCATGTAGATAATGTATCCTCCAAGTTTTTCTTTTTCTGTCTCAGTGAGAAGTATTAATTAAACTTATTGTCTGGGTTAGTTGCAGCGCTGTGGTAATCTCTTTTATTCACTGATCTCTTACTTGTTTCAGAATATAAATAATTGAACATTTACTAAAGGATGCCTAATCATAAAAGATTGTTAGTCCCTATAGTGTTGTGCTTTGCATCATCTAAACTGTTCTGGTTTAACCACGTTGAAATCATTTTTATTTAAAAAAGCATTATAGTTTTTAATATAGGAATGCCCTACACCTTTCATTATCATTAAATTATTATCTTTGTATCTACTGTTGCCACTTACACAACACTAGCCAATCACTGTAGACTCCAACTTCGTTTTTTCTAGTCAATGGACTGTTCGTTTATTTTGCCTCAGGGATGGCCAGTGTTTTTATGAAGGGGGTTCAATTTTAAAAGTGTCTCTTTAAGAGGGGGTATATTTTTTCAAAGGATGTCTTAAGCAGCGGGTATGAATCACTTATAATAATTTACCACATTCCGCTTCTTCTCCCACAAGATCACCATGCGACCTTTTATCGAGCTTGTTCCGCACATGTTACATATTATATTGCCGTTTTGCATTTTTTTCTATACTTTTCTTCCGTCTATTTCTTATATATATTTTGTTCTATTTCTTATTTAATCATTCTTATCTTTCTACATTTTGTTCTATTTCTCATTTCAATTTGCTTATCTTTCTACTTATGTCCATCCATTCCTTCCTTAACCCATTCATCCATCTATTTACCAAAACCTAAATACACCTCCATCCATTCATCCACTCATATATTGTCTGCTCATTTTCATCCATTTATCTATTCCCATATTGACTCATTTATCAATAAAGAACTTGGAAAAAACTCATAATAAAGTTTCAACAATAATAATTTTAATATTTTTGTTAACTTTTATTTTTCCCCTTTCTTTTGAGGGGGAGTGGGGTACAATTTTATAAGTAAGGTTATGTGATGGGGGGTACATAGTTTGAAAAGTAATTCAAAATGGGGGGTATGTTTCAGAGCAGACGCATCTGCTTAAAAAACACCGCCCCACTGTGATGTTATATTTGATCAGTCCCTAAGATTGTATGTATTATGTGTTCAATGTATTCAACTGCTTTCACCTGAAATTTTGCTATAAGCTACTATGAAACAAGATGCACTAACAATATTGAATTATACAATTATGCAATTTGAAAACATACAAATCAAAAATATAAGGCTAAATCACTAGAACAATTAGAAAACAAGATTAAAATTCATAGCCGTATTGTATTCTTATGCACCTATCAATGTTAAGCCCCCAGGGGGGGGGGGGGGAGGCCGGGCTAGGGATGGGGATTAGACATTTTTTCATTTTTTTCTGTCAAATGCCCCACCCTTGGGCTGCTGAATGTGGTCAAATGCAGCTAAAAATCCCCACCCTGGGGACCAATTTATTGGTTAAATTCTATTTGAAAATCTGAGGTTTTCATTGATCAGTCTCTTTCTCGGAGCCTTTTTATTCAGTATTTGATCAATACAAATGTTATAATAAAACCCTTTTGTTGTTTTAGACAAAAGATAATCTTTAAAAAACTAAACTAATACGGTTACCTCCTTGACATCCGCCATCTTGCCRTGTGCTATGAGATATCTGCAGGGGCTTTTATAGAGGCACTAGTCTTCAGTTCTCCTCAGCTTTCTATTACTCAGGTAACCCAACGATGGTCGGCAAATATCCCCACTCTGGGGCACTGAATTATTGGCAAATGCCCGACCCTGGGGCAGTAATAGCTAGTCTAATCCCCACCTCTAGCCCGGCCTCCCCCCCTGGGGGCTTAACATTGATAGGTGCATTATCATGACTTACAAATCCATCAATCAACTAAATTACTTTTGACCTTGGATAAGTTGATCTTTTTTTCCATCATAATTCAGAAGGACATTTTGGACAAAATGACAGCTTTTCTAAGAAGTTATTTTGGAGAGTTGCATTTGAGAAAAATTGATGTGATTTTAAATAAAGAACGTGCTCTCAGCACAGACTAAAGAAAGGAGGCCCTTTYGGGTTTCATACAATCTGCCTTTAGAATTGACATTGTAGTTTAGTGAAAGGGTAGCATTATAGATCATAATAGAAATTCAGTGTTTAGAATTAAAACAAATCCCATATTTTCAAAACTACTGGTTCATTTTAACATACAGTTATGGAGTTATTTTATTGGCTGAACAAATGAAATTAGAATTTTTTGAATTAGAATGTCATTAGTTGGTATTGTCTAACTGATCAGTTTCAGAAGCCGCACTAATAAACCTCCCATACACACAACTGCCACCTGAATATGTAGTCTTATTAAATAACCATGTACATGCCAATCAGACCCAATGACCGACTATATCAATGAATGGAGGTTGCTAGGAGTACTGTATAGTGTAAATTTTAGGGGTTTGAATAAATCAGTAACAAACAAAGACTTTGGTGTGCATTTGCAGTCTGACTGTCTAACACTCAAGAACCATGGAAGTGCTTTGTTTCATTCTTTTCTATGACATTGACATTCTAAACTGATATTTTCAGGGTGGAATTCAAAGAGAACATTAAATTAGATTACACAAGGACTTAGGTCACCAAAAACCGTGTTGGGTTTTATCGAATGGAATTAAAAAAAAAATTGATTCATGCGGTTGTAATTTATTCAAATCGATAACAATAACAATCAAAAATTTGAGAATAAACGATGGGAAATGGAAAGAGGAGTCATTACTAATATTTCTAGCGACAACGTTTAGAAAACTAATATCGAATGCCGTATCATCCAGCTTATTGTCAAACGGTAGATGTCGTGTTCATGGTAGTCACACATTTGAATTTTTGCGTGACATCTATATTATGTATTATTATGTAATATGACATATATCGTTCTAAATGATCTAAATATTGGTTTATCACGCCGTGGAAAAGTCAAAAACAATCAGGGTATTTTTTAATAATTCAAGAATTAACCATGCAGCAATGACACAGAACACGTGCTACAGTCAGACATCATGTCTACAGGGCAGGATATTTGAATTCTAAAAGACTTGTGGCCAATCCAAGCATACATTTAAACATACCTTCGTTTTTTCTATAAACAGATTGAATGAATTTAAAGCATCCATTTATAGATTTGAGCTCAATAAAGTTTCAACTTTTTTTACTCAATTCGTGGTATATTTTTCGTGATTATGGTAAGCTTAATTATACGCGTAAGCTTCAAAAACAGCGCACGAGTATTATATACACGTAGGTGTCACGTTAATACACAGATATATCTTACCTGAAGTTCTCGTAAGACTAAGACCAGTGATATCTTTACATACACACACACACAAAATAAAAACAATCAAAACATCAGTTCAGTGTTTGAATAGACGTGCAAAAACTATCCAGACAATAGAAGGCATAAACAACACACTGCACCGGGAAGCTGTGCTCTTACCTGGCGAAACAACTCTCTCGTAATGAAAAGGATTCACGCAAACACTATCACACTTTAAATCAAAAGCAAACTGACAATATTTTACATGACGAAGTTCGTTTTTGTGCAGATCAGGCCACCGCCAAATTTTAGCGTAGATAACATGTGGGAAACCTTTTCGTCCAGCAACTTGCAAACGACCATCTAAAGTTCGCTGAATTGTTACACATTTAGACGGATGAGTTCCTGCAGAAGTAATAGCTGTTATCAATGAATCCAGTTCATCCTTTTTTTCCTTGAGTTTCTTCACTAAAGATTCAATTGCCCTTTTAGCAAATGCTTCTGATTCACCTCCCTGGCGATGACACATCAGCGAGTGGACAATGCTCAAACATGCATCGTTACTTGTAGGAGCGTTCGCCATGGCGAAGTTGTAAGCCCCTAGATTTCGTATATTTGAAAAGTATAGTTTTGAGTGTAAATATCAAAAAGAAAGCTGATAAAATTCCTTAGAAAGTTATTTTCGTTGAGGCGAACCCCACAAGCTTTCAAACGGACAGTTGAGTTCGTAGTACGCATGTGCAAAGACATTTGATGCGGGAGGGGAGGGTATCTGTGCTAAAAATACTACCACTAATATTATCACTTGCGCTTTTACTTTTACGCTCACTTGCAAATATTATTCTCTGTTTTATAATGGGAGATTTACATAACCAGCTGAATTACATGTCACGTTTTAAAAGTTGCAATTGTGTCAAACGCAAAAAAAAAACCATTCAACAGTAATAAGGCAACTTTTTGCATTTCATTACAACGACAAACATTGCATAAAACACATCCTAGACGACATGATTCGATGATTCGTACAGAGAAGCTAATGTTGAAAGTGTAGAATGCCTCACTCTTGTGCCTGATTCTTGGCTGTTTTTTTTTTGAAAACAGAGTATTTTTGTCGTAAATATAGTTTTGTGTTCGTATCGATTTGCTTTAAGTCCCCTGAAAAATCAGGCGGAGAATCCGCATACTGTAGTAGTCCAGTCCTGGCCTCCTTTCGACCCGCTCCAGGACTCGCGGGGAAAGAGAGTTCGCGTGTCGAAAGGAGACCAGGACAGCACTGCACTGAGGCCCGTTCTGTCCTAGGAGCGCGTTCACACTGGAACTGGCCTCGTCTGATGCTGGCAAAGTGGTCAGGTTTGGGGTCGGCTAAAAAGCCCATCCACTTTGAGGACACTTCGAAGCATGAACGGATCCGTGTGAACACTGTTTCAACCCGTACCGAAATGTGGACGGTTCCGTGTGAACAGTGGGAACTGTCCTAAAACCGAGGTGTCCTCAAACTTGACAGGCCCCGTGTGAACGTAGTTTACTATTAGTATCCGCACCTATAGCTCTTTCGTCACGCAACGCTATCTGTGTGCAGTAGCGTTGCGTGACTATACAGAGGACAACCGTGAGTTTATGGCATTTGAATACAAGACAGTTTGATAGATAACCTCAAACCAATAAAGGCAGACAGACGATAAAGATACGAAAGCAATCTAATGCTAATTACCATATGCTGCAAAAATTATCTTATCTTATCAACAAACCATTAATTATAAAACTAATTGATAATTCATGAACCATTACTCAAAAAGGGCTGTCTATTTGTCTACTTTGTTAATCTGGAATCTCAACAACAGTTTACAACAAGGTTGTCCTCGGGCAGAGGATTTTTCACTCCCTTAGTCTACGAAAAAAAATTCTCTGCTCGCAGGGTACATCAGCAAAGGTCTCAATTTAAAACCCCGGGGATTTGATTTTTAAAATATCCCTGGAGAGAGATTTCGATTTGAATCTATCTCTGGGGAGTGGAAATTTGACACGGAAAATTTGCAACTAATATGGGCGCCATTTTGAATGCCGAGTAATCCTGGAAACTAGTTTTATCCAGCAGTCAACTGGAACTGGAGCGTTTCTACGTTTCACGCACCTCGCGATCACTTAGTGCGGCAATATTTTAACTTGTTTTGAGTAAGTTTTTTAAGGCCGGAGTTTTGTCAAAATTGTTGTTATATTAATTAAACGTTTGCAAAAATAAATAAATAAATAAAAGAAATTGGTGGTTTTCCGATGTCATGTAAATTGTAACTAGACGATCATGGATCGCTTACGTGGGCTTCCTGTAGCTGCGACAATGGTATTTCATTTTCACGATACAGTCTTTGCTTTTAATAAGTCAAGACGGAATTAAGTTAATATAAGTTATTTATTACATCATAATTTTTTACAGAACTGAACTCTAAGTAACTTTTTTAGATATCATGTCTTTCTCAGTTTTCCAAAATAACTGTAGCTCGACATTACGCTCTAACAGCGTCTTGATAATATTCAAAATATGCAAGATATCTGAAAGTTCATATAAACCATAGAAATGGTACAGTCTTTGCAGTTTTGTCAGTATTGTATAACTTTGAATAATATTTTGATCGTTTGAATCATTTAAGATCTTGTGTTTCTGTTCTTTTTTGGTGTTTTTATAGTAATTTATCATTTTACATCTGGTGTTCTGTGCCATCATCAATCCGCCAACCGATGTCACTTCGGCTCAGATTAATGGCGGATAGGAAAAAACCGACTTTCAAAGCTCCATTTCTCCTGTTTTTCAATGATGTATCGTTAAAAAAGTCTAAGAAATACTTATTTGGATCTCCATAAAGAGGTATATGTACAAAAACAGCTCAAATTCATCGTACACGGGAGACAGGGACACTGGGTACGACATTCAGGCTGACATTCAGGCTTACTTTTTGAGAAGCAGTGACGTCAGTGACCAAGGACTCGCTGGCTCACTTTTCCCATGCAAAATAKCCGAAAAATCGACGTTCTCTCTCCACTTTTGGAGGCTAGTCCAACGTGTACGTTCTTTTCCACCAAACCTTTTATCGCAAGTTATTTCTGGTTTTTAACTAGCAACTGTGACTGAAAGGCAACTTTCCATTTTTTAAATAACCGAATAAAATGATGATAAGGTGTCGGGGCTGCGAAGCCGAAGGCGAATGCTCCTTAAACTGTCGGGTGGCGCACACTAATGGACGCGCGCTTTCGCTTTTTCGCGTCATGCAACAAAGCTTTCCCGGCCGACCGCGGTTTAACGAAAAGGGGGCATGCATACAATGAAGAAAGAAGCAAAGTAGATAGACTTTTACCGATATAAAAAGTTTGATTCATAACCCAAAGTATGATAAAATGTTAAAAGCAAACACTGTTGAGAAACACGTGGACATTATACTTTACCGTATGAGGATTTATGTATTCCAAAAAAGTATCAAGTGGAAACACGGAAAAAAGCATAAAAAGACTTTGAACCGTAAAAGGAAGTGAGCCGCCATTTTGGTTTGTGATCCCGAACCAATCAGAAGACAGCATTGCATCGATCAGCTTGTAAAATATTCTGTTTGCAAAGCCGAAGAAGATTCGTTTGCTGTCGTTCCGTGGGTGTTTTGAGTTCCATGTCTTGAATTACGACTTAAGAATCAAGTTCAATCGTTCCTGGGTCTAAGATTATGAAACTGGGCCATTTGTGAGGGATCTTACATAGAAAAAATAGTGTTCTGACGCGCACTTTTCTGGATGTTGTCAAATGGTGCTTCTCAAGTGACGGTCCCATTATTTAGCCGCGGCGTGGATGCCTTTATGATACGGCGGTTCTTAGCGATCTGTCGGGCCGCCCATGTCCTTGCTACTTTTCCGTGGCTGTTCTTTTCTATGTTTTTGAAGTCTCCGACTGTTTGTGAGATTAAAATGCTGCTGTAGTCGAACGGAGACTCAGTTGTAGATTCGCTGTCTTAACGTCGACAACTGCATAAAACCTTGGTTATAAGTCTTAAGTACACACAGGCAAGACAGGCTACGATACGTGATACAATGGAAGAGTTTGAAGGTAAAAAGTCTGTGATGTCAAAAAATGTTTTATTCTGAAAAAGCTTACATCTTTAATACTAGGTAGTCAGTGGTCTTTTATTCGAGAATGTAAGCTTAAATGTCTTTCTTGTGAAATACTGTGACATGTGGTAGATTTGTAGAAGCATCGATGCAGGAAAAATTCGAATAGTTTTCATTCATTGATTATTACGCAAAACTGTATTTTTTGCAACATGCAGGGCTTCAGCCAGCATGTCAAACATAAGTTGCTTATCCTTCGAAGCACCGTTCCAACATTTTAAAAAGATTAAACTTATTTTTTAGGTTTAGCTAAGAATTTAAGTTAAGTTATTAAGCTTATAGTGAGGCCAATTTCATACTTCATTTCGGGTCGATTATTTCTTCATATTTACCAGATGAAACATCATCTGCTTAGTTATTATCTTGCTATATTCAAATCGATCGCCCAAATTACTTATTTCGATTACGAAGTTAAAATGCTATGGTAACGTTGCATTTAAGTTTATATGAAGTCGTCGAAAAACTATTATGACATGTGAGCCCTGTTAAAAACATACAGTCAATCCATATTGCTAAAGTTGTAAAAACAACAACAACATTTGCATTGGTCACATATTATTGATTTTTAGTAAAATATTGAACATGAAGTTGCAAAACTTCTTCACAATGTCCTTCAAGGCAATTTGAAAATATATTCATGCAAATGACCATTACAAAGTACAGCTATGCATCATTTTTTGAAGAGATGTTTTTTTTAGATGGATTTTCATGTGAACAAACTGGGCATGAATGCTTCCTAAGTGTTAAAATTAAACCCATTTACAATTTYTCTAGATGATATTTTTGACCGCAACATTGATCAGCTAGATGTAAGAGAAACACCAAGGTAGGAAAAGAAACTAGATTAATGTCATTATTATACATTGTATAAACACTCTGAAGTCTAACCAGTTTATTTCCAGGTTTTTTCACAATTTTTCTTTTATATTCATGTAAAATCTCCAAAAAATGATCTTGAACTTATTCAATTTTATAAACCTTTTTTTTAAATTTGAAACATTGTATAATAAAACAATTATTGAATTCTGTTTTGGTGATTTATTGGAAAAATCAAGGTCTTGGCAAGTGTAATAAGCCTTTGGACATTCAGCCCTGGCTGATTACACTTTTCTCAACCTTGATTATTTTGAATATCACAAATTAAAACTTCATTCAGACGTCTTCAGTGAAAAACCAGGCCGCGCGCTAGCCAATCACAGCGTGCGAATGACTASGATACCAGACTGAAAAAAATGTTAATATTTCATTTTAGATGGGAACTTTCTGAGGAGGAAGATGAACCATGTGATGCTAATCATATAGCACCTCTTGTCAATCAACAGAAAGAAGAAAAGGTAAACAATTGGATTAGTCTTGCCATGGTCCATCTAAAAGTAATCATGGTAATGATTTTGTCAATGACCAAGTTTACATTTGATTTTGATCAAGATAGAAATACAATGTTTTTAAATACAGTGTCAGAACCAGCTCACAATAATAATATCCTGTCCCAGGGTGCCTGAATTCGAGTGTGCTCTCTAATGTTTTGATTCGAACATCATTTTACATTGCTAATACCAGTTGAGTTGAAATTGACATTAATTGAAACCTACATCTACTCTGTATGATCATTAAAAACATGTATTTTTTGATACTAGCTTTATGTTATATAAATGTTTTTTAACATAAACAAAAATACATGTTTTTAATTATTATGAATCCTCCTAGCTGCAAATTTAAATTATCTACTCTGTATATTTGGTGTGAAAGACTTTTCAATCTGGCCTTGCCACTTAAGATATAAAACTAGACATCTTTATTTTATTTTATTTTATTCATTTATTAAAATAAATGATTCAATGCTTTATTACTATTTATTACTAACTGATATTGGTCTGCTCTTTGACAGAGTTCAAGAGTTTCTCAACAAGCCAACCCTTCATCTATTACAACTATCACCAGCATACAATCTAACGGAAGGCCAACCATMAACCCTATTTACCAGACAAAAATTGTGAAGGGGTTTCAACAGATGCCAAGGCAAGGGATTCCTGTACAATCACAAAGTCCAGTTCTTAATAATGGTGGGCTAAGTAGCACAAGTACAACAGAAAGTGTTAAAACAGTGATGTCACCTATATTGTTACCAAGGAACTTGGATAAGAAAAAGATTGAAGAACTTGTTAATGCTGCTTACAAGGATGATGGTGATTCTGTCAAGGTAATAGGATATCGTCATTGTCTTGTAGTTTTGAAGAATATTCATACGAAGTAATAACAAATGAACTATCACTCTTTTTCAAACTGTGTAGGTGTTGTACAACAATTATTCATAATTGTATGTATTGATGATTTGTCTTGCTCAGCAATGTTTTGATTTTTATTCAGGATTTTGGTGCAGCCGAGAGAGAGAAAAGACCCACAGTCAATGCTTCCACAGCAAACAGCCCAACAAAAGATGTCATGAGTAGGCTTCCACCATGGGAAGATGATGATGCTGACTCAATCAAGGTATTTTTTTCACAATACTACAGCTAATATCTTGAATTCTGTTGTTTTCTTTACAATCTGTTTTGTTATTGTTATTGGTTCTATGCTGAAGTTAAAGTCTTTACAAGAGTGTGTATGTATTCCAGGATTACACAGGCAATGACAGGAAAAAGGAAGAACAGTATATGGTGAGAACCGACGAGGCAATCTACCAGAGAGCTTCAGAGGAACACATCAAAAGACCTCCATTATGGCATGATGATGAGGTTGACTCTCTCAGGGTAAAGTGTTTTGTGTTGAATACATTAAGCAGCTTTTTATATCAATCATTTTAATTAGTCACATCATGCTATACTTTTTACAAATCAATACATTGTATATTGCTGCAGTATTGAAATAGCAAGTATTGTTTTACTATTATGGATACCATCAATAATTTATAAAAGATAGCTATGCATTTTTAATTTTAAATCATGTTTTTTTTAAGTTTCAAGTTCAGTCTGCAAGTTTCTCGTGATCTTATGATTCCAAAACTGCTACATCAAATAAAACATGAAATAACAATGAAATGAACATGGAAATGGTTTTCTCACAAAATTTGTTCATAATTATTATGTTCAATTGAATTAATTGATCGCTTCCTTGTTGTGTGTGTTTTCAGGACTTTGGACGTATTTTAAGCAAGCAAGAAGTACCATCTGGGATGATGAGCCAACAGTTGAGTAGAGTTCCATCTGATGAAGAGATTTGCCTGTCACCCCCCTGGATTGAGGAAGAGGATGGACAAGACACGGTTAGTCTATTTTTTTGCAAATTGATATTCCTGCAGGTATGGAAAGGAGGTTAAGTTTTATAGTTATAGCAGAAAAAATCCCCAAAAGGACAGAGGAATTCTTTGTGTGCCTCCGATATCTTTGAAAAATGTTGACATTCCCTAAGAATATTACCATTGCATACTGTACATGGTATCTTTTAGGATTCACACAGATGGCTTTCTATTTCAATATTGAATTAGTGGTTTGATTTCTTGAATAGAATATCCAGTGTCCAGAAGCAGACCTCAAGAGTTTTACGGTTAGGAAAATGATGGCAGAACAACGTATCCAACAAGTCCCTCCCTGGCATGAAGATGATTCTACAAAGGTATACCTTGAAAACCTTCAAATTTGCGTTTACTAGCAAAAATAGTATTTAATTCATAATGTTCTTTAGAATTATGCTGAATTCTGGAAGCTTGGATCAAAAGAGAATTCCAGACGTCCATCAGATGAAAATATTTACCTTACCCCACCATGGATGGAAGATGATCGGGAATCTTGTGGGGTAGGTGCAAATATTTGTTTGTTGTTATTGTTATGGATTGTGATCAGAATTATTATGATGAAGGTAGCAATGGATATAATAATGGCAATTATTAATATCATTGCTATTTTTAATACCAATCATTTTGTTGTTAATGTTTCACTTCCAGCATGTCCTGTCATAGGAAAAGTAGAAAAGTCCAGATATTACCCTGGGCACATTTTGGTAGTGATTTTCAAAGCATCACCACATGATGTGATATGTGATATTCGGAATATTATTTTGAATATCACTTGCTATTAATTAGACATTATCTAATTAATTATTAAGTCACATTAGATTTTTATTATAAGTATCATGTTGCAATAAATCTAATGTTATAAATTGTAGAACCAAAGTGCATCGTCGCAAACGACTCTTGATGAGAAGCGATTCATTGAGGAAGAAGTGAGAACGTCTAGTGTGGCCCCATCCAAACTACAAGTCTTGAATGAMGAACAGAACGATTCGACCACAGAGAACCAGCTACTAGGGCGTGACAGTGGTTTCTGTAGTGAACAAGACCAAAATCAACAGACACAAGGTTTAAATCCTATTGTTTTTACTACTCTACAGCTTTCCTTTTGGGCGGGTATTTCACGTGACTTTTACAACATCATATAATATGTGTATCAACTATAGCATTGGTCTGAATGTCCGTTTTCCATCTGCACACTAATTTAATTGCTGTTTATCTCTTTCCGKTTTTTTTGGATTCCATCATCCATTGATCAATCCCTTTATTCCGTTAACCATTTAATCCATCCGTCTCATCATACATCACATTATTCGTTCCATTCACTTTAAATGTTAATTAAATTCGACCATTCTTTAGTCAAATCATTCGAGTATTCATTAAGACAAGGATGTTGCAGGAGCACAGTGATATGTGAAAAATCATATGAAGCTGCAGTTTTAGTGTTCCAAGCTTTCACCGTTCTATGGTAACACCAGGGACTGAAGTTTTTTGAATTAATACATTAAATAATTTATACGTTAATACATTGAAACCAATACAAATATATTAAACATAATTTTTGACCCTTAGGTTTCCCCCAAGGTCAGGACGTTGAGTCGATCAAAACCACTACGGTTCCAAATGACATGATGACTTGCCTACCCARAGTGCCAAACTCTAAAGAGACAATAGATACTGCAGAAAACATTTCAACTACCAACCAGCTCATCCTCCCTGCAAAACAATCATCACTAACACAGGGCAGTAAAGAAACTACGAAAACTACGAGTTTTATACCTCAACTTCCTGACGACCAGCAAATGCAAACATCATTTTTGCCCCACATCCCTTTGTTAGCTGGGAATGTACATGATAAGCAGGAGAAATTGGTGGCGCCAGTAGTTCCCCTGACAAACTCACGATTATGCGACGTTGATGTAAAAGGTTGGTATTRCACACGGCATTTCACCTTTTTCCATTTTCAGATGAATAACATATGCTTAACTGCATGTGGTTGTCATGTTTGACTTAGCTGTATGTAAGCTAAAAATTTGTTTAATTTTGGGTAGAGAAAAGAAGAGGCGAGGAATGAAAGAGACCTCTTTTCTAAGTAATGAAGGGGAGGCATCTATCTCTCAATGAAAAAGTTTTTTATTTCCCGAAACGTTCACGAGGATTCTTATATCCCTGATTCGACTATTCGGACTACAATCCCGGATTCAATGAAAMTGTCGGATTCACTGTCTTAAGTTTAAACATGGAACATAGATTTTCTTTCTAAAGAATCTGAATTTAGCTAATAGGTTCTGTAACACTAGACTAACTTAAAGTTATCAAAGGCAGCCTTAATGGCGTCCTGTATATCTCCATGTTCTTTTGATGCCACTTGAACCGAAAGAAGTTTAAAAACCTTACAGAAACGATTAGAGGATCGYAAACGAGTACCTAGAATGAATGTAATATGAATAAATAGCCCTGGAACTCGCAGAAAATTTTGTAAGTTTGATGTACTTTGTAAGCGAGCTGAACTGCAACTTTTCATTAAATCGTAAAGTTAACAAAAAAAAATGTAAGTTTGATGTACTTTGTAAGCGAGCTGAACTGCAACTTTTCATTAAATCGTAAAGTTAACAAAAAAAAA